GGTATATTTATATATCGTATTTCTCTTTATATGGTTGACCAGTTTTTGAAATTAGCACCAAATGCAAATTTACAGTCGGTACACATTCAAGAATTCGGAACAATTTTTAAACACGAATGAGTCCTCAATGTTTCACGGTATAGCTTCTGAAGAGTTTACACGATTTAACTGTTAATGCCTTCATAATGCTCCTCTTGAATACACCGTTTATTTAAATTGATGTAGCTCAGAGAGAAAGAGTGATAAATATCGTATGCATTATCTCTCACAACCATAAATATTGGTAAGTGATTTCGTTCGCGTTATTTTCTCTAGAACTGATTAACAGTATTTAATGTTTTGCGAACCAGTGAACAATTGATTTAAATCTTCGATATTAATACAGTTCGTATTAACTTTCGCAAAAAGTGGTCGAATAGTCGAGCTGTTAATTAAACCTTTCTACAGAATAGTTACCGCATTCGGAGTCGATGACAGTGTTCACCTTTCCTTTTTCTCCTATTTCCCTATTTCTCCTATTTTACTATTCACTCTGAGTTTTCATATGTTTCAAAGGGTCACCATTTCGTTGGACGCTCGCGTCGAAATTTCAACTAATTACAAACTGACCAACTTGGAATTAGGAGACTCGTCCGTGGATTATTTTCGCGGTATCTCGGAACGCGTTTGCTTATACAGAAACGTACCCGCGTATATTATGAAATTCCTCGCGGCCACGATGAAGGATGTAATATACATTTTGAAAATTAGTTTGAAAATTATTCGATCGAATTTTAATGTCCAAAATGGAATCATCGTGGAACCTTTCTTTTTTTTTTTTTTTCTTTTACTATCGGGAAATTTCTATCCAGAAAGCTTGATAAATAATTTATCGTTTATTATAATGCGAATCTTCTTTTTCTTCTTCTTTTTTTCTTTTTCTTTGGGGATAGGAAGGAGGGGATGGAGTAAAGAAGGAGAACAAAAAAGAGAAAGGAATTCATTCCCTGTCGATTCGTATATAATAAATACACAGTTTCGGTAGTTTCGTATGTTGAACATGCCGGCTGACATAAATTCGATGCAGACATGTCCCGCGATGCGTTTTAATTTAGCCCCTTTCGCGAGTTTGCGACGGTGAGTTGGGGTCGAGGCATCTCGGGTGGCTCTTTGGGGGTGTTTTTGATTTGTTAGCTCCCATGGGATAGTTGGCAGAGAATGAGGGACAGAGAGAGAGAGAGAGAGAGAGAGAGAGATGGAAGGAGGGAGGGAAATATACAGAGACAAAGAAGGAAGGGAATATAATAGAATAGGAGACAGAGAAAGAGAGAGAGAGAGAGATATTCGTAGAAGGACCATGCGCGACGACGACGACGATGACGACGACGTCGGCTACGAGGAAGAAGGATGATAAGAGTAAGTGAGAGAAGGAAAGAGAGAAAGAGAGAGAGAGAGAGAGAGAGAGAAGGTTAGAAGGAGAGGAGAGGGGAGCAAAGTTGGGTAACCGCACATTATGTGATTTCTATAGGGAACGAGCTAACTTCGCGATTGAATTGTCCCGGCGACAATGGCAATCTGCCAGAGCACTCGACGTTTTCTCCAGGTATTTTCAACGATTTCGTTACGTTCTATATCCTTCGTTTCGTCAAAAGAAAATTTTTCCGTGCCCACGTTTGGCCCACCCACTTATCCCTTACTTTCTCGAAGCTCTCTGGTACACGCTTTCATCGATTTTCCTTTCCCCCTAAGTAGCTACATGTGTAAAACCGCTTTATTGGACAATTCGGCCCACCAACTTCGATTGAAGTCGATAGTTTCGAAAAAATAAAAAGTATTATCGTTTATCGAATACATAAAATGTTGGCCTCTTTTATATCGATATTATGATTCCGATAAAAGTTTGGAAACTCGATGTTATATTTATTTATTCTATTCAGAAGAGTGGTCAAAGCGAAGCTTTGATCGTCTATCGTCTCGTTATAAAATGTATATAATCGAATATTTGATTTTCAAAGAAAGATAATATATACTATTGACACTTGTTACATCGGTGTATTCGAAACATTAATGTATTATAAAAATCTATCTATCTATATCTATATATATATATATATATATATATATATATATATATATATATATATATATATATGAATGCATATATAGATATGTATATAATACACATGAAACAAAATATATATGCATATGATAACAAGTTATCATTATATCGTGGTTCAAGCGAGCATGGCTTCTATACCAGCTACCAGTGTTACCTGGGTACCACAACATTTCTAATCTACTCGATGCATATTCATTAACCGCTTCATTAATCCTACTATACGCGTTACCCTACAGACGTTAATCGTGCGAACATAGTTTATGCAGTCCGTTGAAAATAGAGCTAGGAAAAAGAAGTATTCTCTAGATAATAACCCACACTCTTTACATTATTGTATATGCATTTATTCGAAACAAAAAGAATACCTTTTAACTAATCTCCATATAAATAATTATTAATACAATCAATGATTTTTTTTAATACGAACGATAGATTAATCTCAATGAATGATCGTTCTATCCTCAATGGGAAACCATTAAAAAGGACTAACGGGCAAAGAGTACCTTGAAAGGTATCTTTCGTATTTGGCTTGTAATTTTATATTTTCGGCTGGCGAAGGGAAGCACTCGCGTTATAATGTGCATCGTTTTCGTCACGAAAGGTAAATCGAAGTTTCGACGACGGCTTCGGGCGAGCCCTTAAGGATCCCGGATCCTGGCAGCAGACCGAAAAGGATGAATCATATCTTCCTTGCCGACATCGTCGACGTTCTATCCTCCGTCACCGAAGATTTTCTCTCCTTTTCTCTCCTTCTATCTCTCTCCTTTTATATTTTTATCTTCTCTTTCTTCTTTTTTTTTTCGAGGATCACGAGATGAAAAGATCGTCTATCATCGTATCCAACGAGACGTTATTCGGATACATTCGATTCGTATTTGATTTTCGATAGAATTTACGCTTTCACGAACGAGCCCCAAGTATGAAATTTGACTTTCTTTTATAGATTTTTATCGAAGCTCATTCCCATTTATCCCCATTCTTTTTCAATTTTATTTCTTTTTCTTTCTTCCTTCATTCCTTCTGTCTTACTCAAAACGGTGCTCTGCGTGCGAAGAACAAATACGTTCTTTAGGAGCAAGAACGTTCTCGCTTGTTGCAAGTTGGTGGTCAATGGCGAGCGTAGTTTGCCGAGCTCTCGAGAAATACCGGGTCGCAATTTCGCGTAACGAAAAACAAATAGTCGCCGTCCATCGAGCCCGTCGGCGCAACGCCCGGCGCGTGCTGACATGAGAGAAAATGAGTGTACTACGGAGACGTGGCTCGATGTTAAATCGTGTAAGAGGGAGAGAGAGAGAGAGAGAGAGAAATAAAAGAAGAAAGAAATAAGTGAAAGGTGGAAATTTTACACTTGAAAATGCATTCCTTCGTTCGATATTTTATCAACTCGATGAGAGTGACACACGAAAAAAGAAAAAAAATTATGGTAAGAAAAAAACTACGCGAGTGTTCTCGCAATTCACCGTCGATCCGAGCTAATAAAAAATCCTACAGAAAAAAGATAAAGGAAGAAAAAGAGAGTAGGGGTGAGGTAGGTCTCGACTCGAATCGGGTGACCGATTTTTCTCTCACTTTTTAACGAAATATTCGTGAGATTTCGATTGACGCACGCACGGATTTAAGAGATTACGCGCCTCGGCAAACGGATATTTCATAACTGACAGTTTTATAGGCGCTTCGCCTAATTGATTCGTTAGTGCGAAAGAGTTCATTTCGATCGAAGCTACGCTTTCTTTATATATGTATATATATATATATATATATATATATATATATATATTTTTTTTTTTCCCTTCTTCTCTCGTGCATATTAAATTTTCTTTTTTTTTTTTTCGCAAATATTCAAAGGAAAAAGGAAATAGTGTTTTTTTTTCTTTTTTAATACATAAAATTTATAAAATTATCATTTCCGTTTCTCCTTGAGCATTAAATTTTGTAGAGTTGTCCGTATGAATCGTTCGATTGTATTTCCAATCTGAGACTTTCGACTATAAATATGACTTTTCTTTCAGCTTCACGGTAGATTTATATTCTATTTAATGAAACATAGTATATATACGCTTAATCTGTTCGATTGGCATTTGTATCGATGCATTTCTTTCTAGTACGATTTTACAATTTACGCTTTTAATTTTGAAGAGAAATAGAAGCCGAACAGGATAGCATACCGATCTCTCTATCGATCGTTAATCCCATCGATCAGTCAATTCTAGTCAGGATATAAAATCATTTTAGGGTTGAAAATCGATAAAAGCGCGTAACGTATTTCATTTTATGGAGCGTCACAGCCGACACGTTTTACAATCGACGTACATAGGTCGCGCATAGAAGCTACCGGTCTCTTCTCTCTCTCTCTCTCTCTCTCTCTCTCTCTCTCTCTCTACTTGATTTATTTTACTACAATCGAGGGAAAATTTTCTACTCTCCATCTCGTCGTTACAACGACATGAGCTTTCCCGCCTATACGTACCTACATATGTAACCGGGAGCGTACGCATGAACGAGCACGCGACACGATTATAAATAGAAAACGATGGCTTTTCAATTTTCATTCTGCGCGTGGCACGCTCGTCGAGTTAGAAATCGAAAAACCGAATGTGGCCTCTCTTCGATCTCTCTCTCTCTCACTCTCTCTCTCTCTCACGTAATTCCATTGAACACGTCGTTCCTGTGAAAAATTTGACGGGAAAGACTCTCTACGTACTACATATGCGTATTCACGCGCGTCTATTATTTATTTTATTTATTAGCGCATTTGTTATATGCAGTTGTTTTTTTCTTTTTTCTTATAATTTAATTTAATTCAGTTTAATTTTATTTCTATTGCTTTTGTTATTTTTTTTTTTTTTTTTTTTTTATTTTTCTTATGTTATTCCATACCATTGAGTATATGCATTATTGACAGACGCTCTGTTTCCTGTCAATACATATCTACCAGCTTGAAATGGATTACGTTTTATTACTCCAATAGTAGATTCTGGCCCTCAGGTTGAAACAAGAACAACAACCACGGAAGTAACAACAACTCTGTTTTACCTTTCACTGGTTATCCAACTATGAGGAAATTGTAATGATAATCAACGGCATGTAGTCGCGTAAGTGACCTAACTGACTACCGAACTGATCAATTTGTGAATTGTTTATTAATGTAAGAATAATATAGAATCCATAACTCATAAACCGTAGCTCTTCTTAATAAGTATAAGAAATTCCTTTTTATAGGCTTAATTAAGAAAAGAAGAAAAAGAGTGAGAGCGATATAGAGAGAGAGAGAGAGAGAGAGAAAAAAAAGAAAATGATCATTTTCTTCCTCCTTCCTTTTTCTTATTATTATCCATCAACGACTATATCACCAATCGGAAATACCGCAGAAAGTAAGATGGGTTTCGTGAGCATGACACTCGTAGTGGCACTTTGTTTTTCTTGTACGTGCTTCTTCGCCAGCTAGTTCACCAGCGTGTGTCAACGAGGCACGAGGAAAAATATTTTTGCCCGATTCTTTTCCTCCTTTGGGTCTACGGAAAGAATAAGAAAAAGAATGGAGAGAGAGAGACGAAAGGGGAAAGGGGAACGTCGTGAAGCGTAAAAACTTTTTCTTGAAGACGCTCGCATCGACTTCTTCTTCTTCTTCTTCTTCTTCTTCCTTTTCTTTTTCTTATTTTTTTTTTCTTATTCTTTTTCCTTTTATACTTTTTCTTTCATCTTTTCTTTCTAGCTTTCTAGCAGAAATCGTGCCGAAGGAACACGGCGACCGAAACGAACAGAGAAAATGAAGGGATGTTGTACGTGCGCTGCCGCGAAGGAAGATCGAGAGAGATGGAGAAATATGAGCCAATGATGCAACGACGATGCGCCTTTCTGCGATTCATTCGAGTATCTCGAAAATGTCGACGTTAATTTCTTCTAAGATTGATCGCTGTCCTAGTAATTGAAAACCACCGAGAAATCTTTCCTCGTTCTTCATCGTAAGATATTATTTAAGACAGAAAAAAGAAAAAAGGAAAACAGAAAAAAGAAAGAAGAAAAAAGAAATTCAAAAATTATTGTTCGTAATATAATATTATAAAAACATAGTTGGATATTCTCTGCGTAGAATGATTTCTGTAGAACGATTTTCGATGTTACGAAATGAAATACAAAATGATAGATATTTATTCATGATTAAATATATAATTTGACCGGAATGAAAATTGCTTGATCGAAAAGTCAGATATAATATTATTTGTAACAGGTTCATTTTAGAACGAAAGGATGGATATGGTATGTCCGACGTATTATGATTAATTTTTTAGAGGCAAGTCTCGCCTCTACAATAGTTAGGTATATATATATATATATGTATATATATATATTTGGAGTCAGTAAAACGGTACGTTCAAAGAAAAAAAGTAGGAGGGGTATGACAAGGAAAAGAATGAGAAGTACGTGGGTGGTGCACGGCTTGGAGAAACGATCTACTCAAGAGGAAAGCAAGAGAGAGAGAGAGAGAGAGAGAGTCCACATATTCATGAAAGCAACGTTTTATATTATCTCCGGTATATTTCCGTGTGTCAAGAAGAACCGGTGCAACCGTAGCTACCCCTAGACCCCACATGACGTCTCTTCTTTCCTCATTTCAACACCCCTTTTCTCTTCAATTCCCTTTCCTCGTACCCTCTCCACATCCACGAGTCTTTCGCCGGACACGCGGATACGGAGTGGTTCCATGAATTTTCGATAATCCAAATTGGATTCTCCTATTGGCGGCACCGGTCCACCGTTCTCTTTTCTTTCCCATTGTTTCTTCCTTTTGTTTTTTTCTCCATCCTTTTTCCCTTTCTCTCTCTCTCTCTCTCTCTCTCTCTCTCTCTCCCTTTTTCCCTATTTCTCTTACCATTCTTTTCTTTCTCTACGTTTCTCTCGCTGGTATCACATGAAATTGTTTTTCCCGTAGAAAGTTACGAATTCGTGTGCTCGGGGAAAAAGAGGAAAATTGGGGGTTGCTGCTACCGTTCTTGCCATTTTCTCTCTCTCTCTCTCTCTCTCTCTGTTTCTCTCTCTCTTTCTACCTTTCTTTATCTCTTATGCTCTCATTCTTCCATGCTCGCTCATCCCTATTTGCCTTTCTCTCTTCGACTTCTTCCATTATTTTTGTTCTTTTTTTCTTTTTTTTCTTTTTTTCACCTTCTTTCTTTCCCTTTCGTATAGGAAATTCGTCGTTCGTAGATGCGGAAAATACGGATTCCGGAATCGTTCCGATAAGTCGGAACAGGAATGCGAACACGTAAGAAACATAAACCACTAAGAAAGTGAATAAAGAAAGAGGCGGTTTACGTGGTCAAGAGAATGTACGCCTATCTATATGTTATCTATCTATGTGGGTGATTGGAATTCGTTGAAATTGAAAAGTAATTCGGGTACAATGATTTGTATACGAGCCATACACCAGAGTGTTTTTTACATCCACTTTTTTCGTAATTCAATTGTTGTTTGTCATTAAAAAAGAAAAGGTAAACGAAAGATTCTATTACATATTATAAAGTATGAATTCGATCGAGTTTATTGAAAATTAATTTGTTCTATTGAATGATATTCTCAGACATCTTGATGGTACGCATTATTCGACAAATTGATATCAGATTTGATAATAGGTTCCCCTACGATATCGCATTGATTTCCTTTGAAAGTTATATTTGTATAATGGAAGCATATATAGAGTTGCATTTAATAATGTTGCGTATTAATACTGCATCAATTAATTCCGCTGCATTTAGTTTTCCTATTATTTCTCTATCTATTCCTCTCTCTCTCTCTCTCTCTTTCTATTTTTTCAAATCATCATTTATTTTAATTTTCTTTTCATATTTAATTTCATTTTGAATATAATAAATAAAAGTATACAAAATTCATAGGAATGAAAGTAAATAATTATTTCGTATTTATTTCGTTTCGGGATTATCTTTTATCGATAATTATTATTATAAATATTTTGATCAAGAAATTTCCTCATTTTCGAAAGCGATTGGTGCATTTCAATTAACATTCTCTAACACGAAGGAATCCTTAGAAGGACACAAAGTTGAACCTCGATTTCTCTCTCTCTCACTTTCTCTCTCTCCTTCTCTATCTATCTATCTATCTCTTTCTCTTCGCTTCTTGCATGGACATGCAATTTCATATTGCGAGGATGGAACGCGGGCGCATCCTTCTCTCTATGATTCTCATCGACGTTCGTACGTCGAGTTAATCGAATTTCTCGATTCTGCTTTCATCCGAAACGAAATTGGATTAAAGTGATTATTTAGTAGACGATCGATTTTATGGGCGCTATAAAGTCAATTTTGTTCATTTCTCGAACATATTGACTTGAATATACGGTTGATATTAGGACATACTTGTTATCAAACTGAAGATCAAGGAGAATAGAGGCAGTCAGATAGAAAGTGTGTGTGTGTGTGAGAGAGAGAGAGAGAGGGAATAACTATAGAAATATCACGTAGTGAATACAATATGTAGATGTATGTATGTAAGCGTAGTAAGCAGTGTCATTTACCTGTAAAGGGATTGAATCCAATAATTTAATTGTGGAACTAAACTCGATTTACAATCCAATTATTCGTCTATGTATTCGTGTTTTAACAGTTTGATTTATATGTGAAGACTTGGTCGATATGGATGACCATAATCTCCGATCCGACTCTGATGTGTCAGTCGTGAACATCCGATTCGTCGACAAAAAATAGAATGAAAGAGACGTTAAAATATATGAAAATAAAAATAGATCATATTTTTTTTCTAGTATTTTTGAGAAACAATGATATTATTTTTTTTTTCTTTTTTCGTTTTTTTTTCTTTTTTTTTTTTTTAACCAACAGGACGTTCTCCATTAACAGTGGCAAATCGACCTAGGAATAGTTAAATACATGCCGTGTGAATTGGGCATCGTATTCGTACGTCATTACGTTCTCGTTCCACTCATTATCCAAAGTAGATGAGGAAAACCGGGGCGATTCCAGCTATTCAAGATTTCTCTTTACAAGGGTAAAATGATAGAGAGGGTAAATGGATACAAGCGAACAAATGGCAGCGGGAACGAAATAGAACCAAATCGAGAATCCCACTACGAAATCTCGAGAATACGTGCAATGGCGTTTGTATCTCTTTTACGTGTACATATATATATATATATATATATACATAGAAAAATAGTATATCAGAAGCACGTGTACTATTATATTTCCCTAACGGTACACATAGAGAGAATGCAACGTATTCTATATCTGGTAATGGTTCGTTATCGAGGATTAATCCCTTCTATTCCTGCCCTCCTACTTCTACCCTTTCCACGTGCTTCGACTTATGATTATATATATGTGTTGGATGTTAACCTCTTTCTCTCTTTCTCCTTTCTCTCTCTCTCTCTCCCTCTCTCTCTTTATTTCTCTTTCAACCGTGGTCAGCAGTTACACCGATGACTCACAGAATACACGAGAGAAAAGGTGCTGGGCTCTGCGCGTACCATGCTACCCTCTCCATTAAATTTATAATTGAGTTTTACACCCCTATTCTGATCGTTCTACCAGCCAGAAATTATTTCCCTATCGTAACTTTCGATCGATCAAAGCCGATTTCTAAATATCGCTTTATGAAGTCGAGATATCCGTTTTATGATCGATGATTTTAGATTTACCTTTTCCTCTCTCTCTCTCTCTCTCGCACGCGCACATTTTTTTTATCCGTAATTTATCGCGCAATCATCGAATCATACTACGCATTCATCATATATATATATATATATATATATATATTTTTTTTTTTTTTTTTATCTAGTTTGGAAGTAATAAGAAACTTTAAGGATGTTTCATTATTCTTCAGAAAATATATACAACTAGAATAACGATATCATTATGTCATTGTAGGTTCAATTGTGGCTGATTTATGCTTTGTTAAGCCTTTACAGAGGAACTCACAATTCTATTGTAAAACACAGTGTTATATAATAACGAGTACGCGTATACTAGCAGAGAGAGAGAGAGAGAGAGAGAGAGAGAGAGAGAGAAGTGTAGTAAAACTATGTAAAGGAAGGGGACGTGTACGTAGATGTGTGTGTGTCTGCGTCTGCGGATAAAAGAGAGTAAATTATGCGATACTACCAATACTTTTGATATTTTATCGGTTGTGCTTCCAATAAAGTTTTTTTGTTTCAAGCATTTCAACAAGAAAAACCATTTCTCTGTTTCTTTTCTCTCTTTCCAACATTTTTCTCTTTTCTTTGTCCTTTCAGTACTCGTTTCAATGCTTTAAACAAGTATCGAATAATAGTCAATTAGCACGGTAGTTCAAAGAATCGAAAAACACAGTTGGTTGGTAATTTTGAAATAGAATTTATTCGATATCTCGACGAAGATCTCGAGTTACGAATGCCGTAAAATGAAAAAAATAACAAAAAGAAACAAAAAAAAAAGAAAAAGAGAAAGAAAGAAAAAAAAAAACAAAAATGAAAGAATCGAAAGAATTGAGTGTGTATTGTAAAGTTCAATATACCTGATAAGCCTGACCATTGCTAGTCCATGTGTTTTAGCGAATTGAAACGTACGTTGTTGGTAGAATGTGTCAATAGTCCTCATAATGGAAACAAGCGATTACTCCGATTATTATCGGAGAAGGTGCGCGCGCCGTGCGTCAATATATGTCACGTGCTCGGCTTTTAGAATTCCGACAAATTGCCGGTTGAAACGTGAGCCCTCGATTGAAAATGAAGCGTCGGCGAGACTTTATGAATAATTCCGTTTGTTGGTGTCGTGGTCGACACTTGATTAGAATTTAATGGCGAGATCGATTTTATATATCGTTAGTCGTTTATCTATTATACGTTGCTGCAGTCCTTTCGTCGGTTTCTTTTCTTTTTTTTTTTTCTTTCCTTTTTTTTCTTCTTCTTTTTTCTTTTTTTTTTTTTCTTTTTTCTTTTTTTTCTTTTTTCTTTTTTTCTTGCAACGTCGACCCAAGCGAAAATCATTCATATTATCCGCGAATAACAGGAAAAGGCATAATTGCAAAGTCGTTTACAGTATGAGTATATCGACCTTAATCCGAGAAACCAAGTGCTATTCCCATTCCTACTTCATATTTAGCTAACGACGAGGATTGTCGTGCTTCAGAAACGGAACATTGTTTTCACCCTAATTTCCATTTCCGTTTATGATCGTCGGCACGAATCATGAGCGCTCGACGAAAAACAGAGGGTTGCCAGTCGTATCGAAGTAAGACGGGGAAAATAAGGAAAACGACGACGGCATATCGTCGAGAATATCGTTATTGCTATTTCTGCTGAAATTCATCGTTCGTTCGCTATTATTACGGCTTAAAAAAATTTCCATAACTAATATTTCAACGGTTTTGGCAAGAGGACACGTCGACGTTTAAAATTAATCGGATGAATTTCTCACTCTTTCTCTCTGTGTGTGTATGTGTGTCGTTCGGATCCTACACCCGTACGACGATCGCGGAAAGAGGAATTCCATAAGAACGATCATAGCACACGAAAATCGTTAGAAACGATTATAAATTCTCGGCTCGTTACCGTCCGGACTTATCGTAATTAACAAACGGATCTCTCGCTTTCCATATCTATGTTTATCATATCATCTGGAACTTTTGGCTCGTTCCAGGAACATTCGGTAATTGAATTTTGTTACCTGAAACGATTTAATTCTTCTGGCATATATTTTCTACACGTACGCATGGACATATTTACGTTTATTTTACACATAAATATTTTGCGATACGCGCATCGAGATATTTATTCCCCTGTTAATTGCAATGAAACATTCATCGCTGACAATCCTTGCAGTTCGATCTACTCGAATCGATAGTATCGCGTTCCCTCGTTACGTTTCGTTGTCCAGAGAATAGGTATCCGTTTTTGGTGGTTAGCGTAAGCACGATTGTATCGATTTGTTCGAGGACACGAACCACGCGGTCGCGCTTGTTAACATAACGACGTTTATAGGATGATTATATTCTAATGCGCGATTACCAAATGCAGATGAGTCTCGTTGGTGTTCGCATCAACGGGAGCAGTTAACCGTGTGGTTAGTTTTTGTCAAATAAAAAAAGAAAAAAAAAAAGAAAAATAATAAAATGCTCGCAAAAAGTAACGAAAGGAAAGTAAAAGGGAAGAGTTTTTTTTAAAAAGTGAAGGAAGGAAGAAGGACGACCTATGGAGAAAAGTTTATAAGGGGACCCGTAACAACACGCGAGCGTTTCCGCGTGAAAGTGGAACCACCACCACGCGAAATTATAGTTGCAAATTAGAAGTGTGTACTCTCCAAACACGACCGTGCTCACCCGTGAAATTTAATGGAAATTAAATTGTGTTCCTACGTCTAGTTGTCTTTTTCTAAATCCTCTCTCGTACCACCCTCTCTCTCCCTCTCTACCACCTTCGACCAACGTGACTTCCCTTTTTCATTTTCCTCCTCTTTTTACTATCCACATTGGACCTTCCTCATCGCGTTTTCTC